AAAAAATAACCATAACCTGAAAGATGTTTTTCATACAGGCCATTAGCCTGAGGGAGGGTCTAAGCTTGTTCTTGTGTAATTTACTGGAGGATGGAACATAAACCTTGAGCCTTTTTCATTGTTTTGTTAATTTAGTTTTATAATCTGAGCTTTTGTGTTTGCTCTCCTGGTTTGCCATTTATCCTTCAAGTATAGGAAAGGCTTTGAGCTAACAGGGAAAAGGCCCTTTTCTTTTTAGTGCTTGGTTTGGAGTTATTGCCATGTTGATAAAAATAAATGTTTCATTTTGAAAAATGTTAACGTGGTCATTTTTCATACATGCATTATAAAAAACACACACCTACATATAATTAGTCTTTTAATTTAGAACTACCAGTGAAATACAATAAAATTCATATTTAATTTTAAGACCAATTTTGATTAAGGTCAGTTTAAAAAATTAAGTAAATGGAACAAATCTACCAAGCATTTCAGTATTATCTACTCATTTTTTTGTGTGGTTTTCACTTAACCTTACTTTTTTTTTTTTACTTATAATTTCAGTTATATTTACTCATTTTTTTTTTACGTTACTGTACCAACTACAATTATTCATTTCAAATTTATTTGTTTAAGCTTTAGTTATTCAATTGATGAAGTATATTTAAGATATTTGACTGGTTTCCAATCTACTCAATAATTTTGAGTGTAAAAATGTTACATCAAAAATTTTAAGTAAATGTCAGTTTTATTTTTTTAGAGTGTGTCTCTTGTGGCGCTAAATCAGGGGTGTCAAACTCCAGTCCTGGAGGGCCAGAGCCCCGCACAGTTTTTGGTTTACCTTCATTTAACACACCTGATTCAACTCCTTGTTCTAATTACCACAGAGCTCATAAGCTAAATCATTTGTGGTGGAACAGGGAAAGAGCTAAGCTACACAGGGCTCTGGCCCTCCAGGACTGGAGTTTGACACCCCTGTGCTAAATGAAACGAATTATATTTGTTTCTGACAGACGACCGATTGTTTTATCTTGGGCCAAACCGCATATCCATACGTTTGGTTGTTTTAAATGAGGATGAAAATACCTTGTACATAATTGTAAATATGTCGTTTGTGAGTAGCCGGGAATATGCCCAGTTTCGGTTCTAATTCATCCCAAAGGTGTTCTGTCGGGTTGAGGTCAGGGCTCTGTGCAGGCAGTCAAGTTCCTCCACACCAAACTCGCTCATTCATGTCGTTATGGACCTTGCTTTCTTCACTGGTGCAGTCATGTTGGAACAGGAAGGGGCCATCCCCAAACGTTTCCCACAAAATTGGGAGCAAGAAATTGTCCAAAATGATTTTGAATGCTGCAGCATTAAGAATTCCTTTCACTGGAACTAAGGGGCCAAACCCAACCGCTGAAAAACAACCCCACACCATAATCCCCCCTTCACCAAACTTTACACTTGGCACAATCGATCTTGGGATTTTGTGAATTGATACTGAATCATCAAAACCAGTATCATAAATCAATATTTTTCCCCACCCAACTGGTTGATATTTTAAGCATAAAAAAACAGATTAAAAAACACTTTCCCTTTTTCATATGATACAACTCTAGGCCTCATTTTAATCCTTGCCCTTCTTCAGTTTTTTGTCTGAATTCTGCTCTTGTTTGTGTCCATCATGCAGTTGTCTCTTGTTACTGTAAAAAGGGAGGGGTCATAAATAATGAGGATTTTTTACAAAAAAAATAAAGACCTGTTCCCAAGTCATTCCATTCAATATTAGGATGCCTTGAAAACATTGCTATTTCTCCACATACCTCATTACCGTAGCCCTGGTTCCTGCTTTCTCCAATGCAAGGTTACTCTCTTCATCATGTCCCTGCATCTGGTACCTGCAGTAACAGAGAGGAGAACAACAATTGTCAAACCTAGCTGCTGCAGGACCTGCAGAAGTACAGTCGTCACAAAAACTTGCTTTTCAGAAGCTGTAAAGGTTTAACCAGCAAAAAGCACAGAGGACTATAGGGGAGAGTGGGGTTATCTGGAACACAGGGTTTGTTGTAACATTCAAATTTTCAGACAAAGAAATGATCCATTTAGACAACAGCAACAATATCCATCCACCTTATTCGTCTCTGAATGAGGACTGCAAGTTGGCCAAAGGAGAAAGGTGTGTATATTCTCTAACACTTGGTGCAAAATTTTCTTCCATAACTAAATGTCAATAAACTAAATGTTAATGTCAGTAGATTAACTCAGGCATTCATACTTTACACTCTAGTACTAAGCTACAACATGAGACCCAACAGATATGTCGTCAAAAGCACTGTTTCATGTAGTATACATACAAATGTCACGTCTGATTCGGTCAACCAACCACAACTTCCAAACACTGAACTATATCTAATTAAGTCTCTAGTCATTATTTCCTGCAATGCAAACTTTTCAGCACAAAACGAAGCATGGCCATGGATAGGGCTGCATGGGAAATACTGATGAACTAGAGACCTTGCTGTACATGGCTGATAATACTGATGGAGACTGTGGCTGTGCAATTCCTTGGAAAAATGACACAATTTTACTACATTGGCAAGACTGCCTTCCTCAATGAGGTGAATAAAGTTGAAACCAAGTTCTACGAAGCTGCAGTCAAAAGGAGAGCCCAGCATTTTCTTTCCCAAATGCTGACATCTCTGATCTTGGATGTGGTATTCAAAGTTCTTGAATGTGGTACTAATGCTTGTAATCAGGGTGATAATGATTAAGTAAATTATCTTATAAAATGGACATATAAAGGGTTTTCTATAGTTATGTCAGCCATGAACTGAATTTTAAGAGCTGTTCCAACAAACTCCAATAGTGGCATTACATGGAACACCCGAAAATCTTGTTGGTGGTGCATCATGTAAAATATAATGAAAAAGTCTAGGCACATTATACGTAACATATGTAACTTAGACATGACTGCGGCATATCTAACTTTCTTTTCAAAAAACATGTTCATGCAACACGGAGGTTTTTTTTTTTTTTAAACTACCCCCACTCTACCTTAGGAAATAAGCTGTTTTACTGTAAGCTTTAGTTAACTTGATAATTTTACAAAGCAATACAAATACTCCAGGCATTGTTCATGTTCCTTTTCCAAAATTTACTTTCCACATTCATATGTATTGAAATGGTTCTAACAGGGAAAAAAAAAAATCAATCAACATGCTAATAGAAAAACTTGAAAGTGTATTAAGTAGTCGTCTTTATTTGTCCATACGTTTCGTTAAAGCGCTCCAAAAGGTAGTCCCCTGTCTTTACTGGAGGATGTTTGTTTGATCCATCACAGCAAGTTATGGTGACGTCATCACCGGGCTGCGCGAAGAAAACCAGAGACTGTCTTGTACTTGAATCACCAGGAGGGGGCAGCAAAACCCTGTGCTTCTACAAAAAGACAAACAACATGCACCCCTGAGTCTACAATTTCCAAATCTAATATTTTTCATATGAGAAGAAAGGAAAATGTGTGTATTCATCAGATGTTTCTGAAATACCACCTTGGGGTTCATCAAATGCAGTATTTACAAATATGGTCAAACGACAGGTGTCTGTGCGTGTGTCAGTCTCACCGCTGATATGAAAACGTCGCTTGTCCATCTCTGCATCAAGTCTGCGATGTTGATCAGAACTGTGCCAGGAATGGCAGGTGCATTTATAAACTCCCCAGACCTGCTCTTCACCTAATACACAAGAGCAGGAGGGTCCAGTCACTCCGCATGTCAGCTCCATGCCATAAAGAGAACAGCGCCCCCGCCTGGACTGGACCATCGCTCCACTTATATAGTCCAGCACCATTACAGTAGTCCCCCTGAATCACGTGTTTCATGCATCAAGGGATGACAGTAATGAAAACCATGCTTTTTAAACCCCATCATATGACTCGGGAACAATGAAAAATCATACTGTTACACATGTCTTTTCGGACTGAGGTACACTGAGGATAAAGTGCAGCTATGGGGGGGGGGATACTCCTGTACCTGCAGGCCTCCTTTGCTGTCCTGGAAGACCAGGGAGATGCTGCCGTAGTCAGAGTGCTCCCCACACCGCAGCTGGCCACCTTTCACCATCGCACGTTGCACCGGGGGGTAGTACAGGACCCGTAGGGTACTCCCATTCGTACTGCCTACAGGACAGCACACCGACCAGTCACAACCGTAAAAAAACAACATGAATTCAAAGTAGTGATGGACAAAATGACACTCCATGAGCCATTTACTGTATTTTACCCGAGTAGATGGTGCTATTGGCTTGCTTTGTGTCCTTTTTTTGAAAAGAGAGCATCATCTATTGGGTTAAAAAAATACAGTAAATGGTTCAAATAGCATCATTTTGTCCATCATTAGTTCAAAGTTTGTATAATACATAATCAGCACTGGCCCCAGATGAACAGTTAAAGGTCAAAATTACTAGTCCACGAGAAATACAACATTTTCCTAAAATTCTGTCAAAGGCTAGATTGAGAGGAATCACCGTTACATTCTTTGCAACAGGTAATTTCATCAGGCCAAAAACCAAAGAAACAAGTCTGGACCTCAGAAAGAAAGTAGTGGATGCCCATCTTAAGGGGCTAGCTATGCTGCCATTTCCAAGCACTTCACCGTGTCCAGAACAGCTGTACAAGGGACACATTCTGTAAGAAACAAACCCGGAGGTTGTTGCAAGTACAATATGTCACAGATTTTGGATAGAAAAATCATGAAAAAGATGTCAACAAGAACCCCTGAAGATAACTGCTGCTGAACTGGCCCCTTCTGGACCAGTGGCGGTCATCGCCCAAGAAAAACTCCAGTGCTCAAACCATGACACATCAAAACCCAACGTCTTGGAGATTCTGTCTTTATTCATTGGGAGATAATTATCTTGTAAACACTTTTGGTACTAGTCATTTCCTTGGAAAAGATAACTTTTGTTCAATTTCAGAAAGGGAGCTAATAATTTTCTCCATAACTGTATATCACCGCCTGTCTGAGGTTTATGCTAATAAATCCAGAAAAAAAGGTATGTATTTTAAACAAAAGCAAACAAAATAAACAGACTAACAAAAGTTCAATAATGTTTCTGCAGCATTAAGTAAATTACATAACCATTTACATTACATTTGTATATTACTGTTAAGACCCAGATTAGTGTGGAGGCAGCATGTAGTTCTGCAGATTAGGACCCTGTATGTATGACTGGAAGATTCAAATCCTGTGGCCAGCAAAGCAATTTCACTGTTAGGCCTTGAGCATGGCCCTTAACCCCAAATGCTCCAAACATTGTCTAACCCTGCTTTTCTCTCTTGTACAAAGCAATGCACAATGTAAATAAATATAAATTTAAAGATGGGTTGAGCAACATGGGTTGAGCAACTAAGCACACAAAATGCCATGCTTGCATCTTTAGACATGTTTAAAATACATGATTACACTGGAGCTGATGCAGTAAATTACATTTATTTTTTATTAATGACGTGGGTGGATCAAACAACATTCTAATGTGCACAAGACAGTATCCCCATATTTTCTAGTAACTGATTGTTTATTAAGCAATCGCAGCCTGTACTCACTGCCTATGCTCTTGTGTGAGTTGACAAAGATGTCCACGTCAATTTCCAGACTCAAGGCCATGACTCTGAGCACACGGAGGGACAGATCTTTACACCGCATGAAGAATGACTCAAAGGTCTTCCGGAAACCTGGTACCACGTCCTCTGCAGGCCAGGCCTGGAAATTGACAGAATTATAATATAACCAGTGTGTGAAATAC